ACACACACTCACACACACACACACTCACACACACACTCACACACACGCACTCACACACACACACTCACACACACTCACACACACACACACACTCACACACTCACACACTCACACACACTCACACACACACTCACACACACACTCTCACACGCACACTCACACACACACACACACTCTCACACACACGCACTCACACACACACACACTCACACACACACACACTCTCACACGCACACTCACACACACACACACACACACTCTCACACACACGCACTCACACACACACACACTCACACACACACACTCACACACACACAGACACACACACAGACATACACACACTCACACACACTCACACACACACACACACACTCATACACTCTCACATGCTCACACACTCACACACACGCACTCACTCACACACACACACGTACGCACACACGGGAGACCTGAGACCTGCGCAGGGTCCGGGGAGCCTCACCTGCAGAAGGTGACGGGCAGCCTCCTGTCCAGCAGCGCCTCCTGGCAGATGGGGCAGATGTCCTCGGGGCCGATCTCCTTCTGCTCCGCGCGCCCGCCGCCGCCGCCGCCGCCGCCGCCGGCCTCCGTGTGTGCGTGGGGGTCGCTGGCTGGCGTGGGGGGAGTCGGCACGCGGTTCACGCCCCGGAGCAGCTCCTCGATCTCTCCTTCCACCAGGCCCAGCTGCAGAGCATCTAGTGAAGACCCCCGCCCCCCGTGTTAAAACTCAGCGGCAACAGGAGAGCATCACACCCGGAGCCTCAGCTGACGCGAGCATTCTCTCTCCGGGTCAGAAAGACAGCTTGGCTGTTCTCACACCCACCCTTACCCTTTGGCGTTCTTTTCAGAGGCAGATGGTCAGGAAATGTGTGAGCCACGTCCTGCGTGGCGTAGGGTTCAGGGTCTGGAGAAGGGCCACGTGTAGATGACAGAAATAGTAATTTGGAAGTTGGAGGGCCGGGCGGAGAGTCCAATGCCAGAGGAAGGACCTCACTGGTGCCCAGGCCTTGCCAGCCTTCTATTCAGTTTTGGACACACTACACCCTTACTCAGGCAGGCAATCCGGCAGCAGACAGACTGTCTTAGCGGCCAGGAGCTATTAGGGAAGCTTTACTCTGAGACCATTTGGTCAGGAAATTGCTTGAGCCCCCGTTGTCTGGACTAATCAATCGGTGCACAGCTTTGACCCTTGCCAGGGCCCAAGGTTCACCAGCGTTCCGGGCTCCGGGTTGACACTCTCTGGTAGTGAAGACAATGGGTGGCTTCCAACAAGAAAAGACTGATTTAGGAAAAGAATGGACACTGCCTCATGTTCCTCACTAATCAGAGCCCGTGCAGCCAGTGATTTTAAGGGTTTTGGATTCATTGTATGATTGTGATTTGTTAACTTCAACATAAGTTTTTATAAAAGCACATACAACTTACATTCATGATTCCTTGGAAGCTTGAATTTTTTCAACAAGATCCTAAGATTCACAAGTAGAAAAACAAAATAACACACTTATTTCTGATATAACCTCAAAAATTATTTCATTCCAATTTTAGAGTAGGAATGGCATTATAGAATTCGTACTACTGAATGTAGAGGGAAAACTTAAAACCCTCACCAGCTTTCTGTTATGAAAGCAATTACATTAATGTTTTAAAAGAAGCATATGTGGCCGAAACCGATTTGGCTCAGTGGATAGAGCGTCGGCCTTCAGACTGAAGGGTCCCAGGTTCGATTCCGGTCAGGGGCATGTACCTTGGTTGCGGGCAAATCCCCAGAAGGAGGTATGCAGGAGGCAGCTGGTCAATGTTTCTCTCTCATCGATGTTTCTAGCTCTCTATCTCTCTCCCTTCCTCTCTGTAAAAAAAAAAAAAAAAAAAAAAAAAAAAAAAATATATATATATATATATATATATATATATATATATCTCAATAAAATATATTAAAAAAAAGAAGCATATGTGAAAAAAGTATGAGAAAATGAAACAGAGACATTTACAGTAAAGACATTTGCCCCTAACTGCTTTCCTGCCAGCCTGATCGCTCCACTGCCCTCCACTCCCCTGATCGCCACTAACCACCTCTGCCTGCCAGCCTGATTGCCCCTAACTGTCCTCTCCTGCAGGCCTGATCGCCACTAACCACCTCTGCCTGCCAGCCTGATTGCCCCAACTGCCCTCCCCTGCTGGCCTGATCGCCACTAACCACCTCTGCCTGCCAGCCTGATTGCCCCAACTGCCCTCCCCTGCTGGCCTGATCGCCACTAACCACCTCTGCCTGCCAGCCTGATTGTCCCTAACTGTCCTCTCCTGCTGGCCTGATCGCCACTAACCACTTTTGCCTGCCAGCCTGATTGTCCCTAACTGTCCTCCCCTGCTGGCCTGATCGCCACTAACCACCTCTGCCTGCCAGCCTGATTGCCCCTAACTGTCCTCTCCTGCTGGCCTGATTGCCAACTGCCCTCCCCTGCTGGCCTGATCGCCACTAACCACC